CTGCTCGGGAACAGGCTGGGCATCAGTCAGGGGGTGGTGAGCAATTGTGTCGTATATCACTTGCTTGGTACATTATTATTGTATTATATTATTATTATTATTACTACTACTACTATCATTCTATTTCATTATACTTCAATTATTAAACTGTTCTTATCTCAACCCAGGAGTTGTTTGACTTTCACCCTTCCAATTCTCTCCCCCACCCCACTGGGGGGGAGTGAGTGAGCGGCTGTGTGGTGCATAGTTGCTGGCTGGGGTTAAACCACAACACTAGTCCAACCTCAAATAGGGCTAACTTCAAAAGTAGGACAGGTTGCTTGGGACATTATCCAGCCAAGTTTTGAAAATTTCCAAGGATGGAAATTCCCCAGCTTCTCTGGACAAGCCATTCCACTGCTTAATTATTGTCAATTTTTTTCCTTATATTTAGTTGAATTTTCCCATGCTGCAGCTGTGACTGTTTCTTCATGTCCTTTTACTGTCTCCCTTTGAGAAATCTCTTTCTCTGTCTTTCCTATAGCCGTTCTTTAGGTAGTTGAAGATTGTGGTTAGACCTCCTCTCAACTGCCTTCTCTCCATGACCTCTCAACCTCTCCTTTTGCAAAACGATGCTGCATTTTATTCCCAACTCTGAAAGTGAATGAAATCCACTTGTTTTGTAGTAATAGTAGCAGGTCCTTGTAGATGATCTAAGTGTTTAAGCAATGCAAGAAGGACTTATATGTCAAAGAGGTTGTCTGTTTTTTCTTATTGTAGTTGTTAGTTTAATAGAGTATAACCTCTCTCCCTACAAACCTTGTCAATCTTCTACATTCCATTGTCCATATTTGCTAAATTTCTGTCACATATCCTAGGCATGTAAAGACCTCAAAATACTTTTAGCAGGATTAGAAACTTCTTTTCAGTCTCCCATCAAATCACTTGTTATGTGTAACATTTTCAGTTATAGCATCAGTGTGAAGCATAGGGTATGTTCAAGAGAAGCAGCATTTACAACAGATGCTAAGAAATCCTGAAGAAAGGAATGAAGCTGAAACCTCATCTGATGCCTTTGCTTGAACACCTTGTTTAGACATTATGTAAGACTGGGATTATAAAATCCTTACCCTAGTTCCAAATAAGTACTTTTACTATCAATGGTCTGTAAAGTCAGATTCCCATGGCTATTCTTTCTTTCCTCCCCCAGGAATTTTGCATTATTGCTTCACAGTCCAATAGCAACAAGAAAGAGATCTCAGGCCAGCCTGCATACTGGAGATTACGAGCACTCTTCTGGGAATTGTGAAATATGGAACTGAGTCTGTCAGACTGAGAAGATTATAGAATCTGACCTCCTGCTACTCAAGAAATATAAACACTTGGCCACTTCTGTAAATGACACTTTACCACCATTCTTCAAGTCGTTTTTTGATTAAAATGCTCATGTCTGTTTTACTTTGTGATAAACTCAGTGCTACCACTGTTTGTCTCTGCACTTAGTATATCTGAAGTATCCCCTCGATGAGGGAATTTTGCTTTGGAAATTCCTGGTTTGAGAGCCCCAAAAGATTGGTAGCTGCCAATCTTCTCAAATTGGGTAGGATCATGGTTGGTTAAGGATGCACAAGAGCATCAATGTACAGACAATTTCAGGTGGCAAGAGTAATTTATTGTTGAAAATAAGGGAACACAAAGACACTCAAGTGCCTGATTTTATGTCTATGCTGCCCTGCAGTGGCAGAAATATATTCATTACTTGATTACCATATAGTGCCTGACCTCCATGCACATAACAACCTCATTGACATCTTGTTCAATCAAGGCCGGGAACAAATAGGCTTAGCATTTTTGGCCATGCAGATTCCTAGAGAGCTTATTCCTATTGTGCTTGGAGCTTCCTTGCAGGCTTATACTATACGATACAGACAAGCTTGACCTTCAGAGCAATTCTCCAGCCAGCCTTAAGGGGTACTGTGGATGTAACCTTAAAGGGTGGGCAAAATTTTTTCTTTATCACATTCTTTTGCTTAGGCAGCTATAAACTTCCTAAATTCACCTTTAGGCGTGTACTTGCTCTTATTCAATGCCAAGAGATCTCTAAGTTTCACCTTATGTCATCTTTCATTATAATCTAAATCAGCTGTCACTTCTTTTCCAAGTACCACTCTGCTCAGGAGGAAACCAAACTACACTTACTTGGTGTAGCATACGTAAACTGAACAACATCCTTTTGCTGGTACCCAGCCAACTTTTAATACTTGCTTATATGGGAAATAGCACATCCTATGTGACCAATAACTATATAAATGAATACCCTACCAAACTAAATCATGGCACAGACTTGGACTAGATTTGTCAATGCATGTTAGAGTCCCTTCTTCCAAGGCTGAACTACCTTCTGCAACTTCTCTGAAAACATACCATTTTCAAAAATTTCCAGATGACAGTCAGTCCATTTTTTCACTCACTGCTGTTGCTTAGTTGAGATCTTAAGAACCGTTTTCCAATGTTAGCAGAGATGTTTTTCAACCAGTAGTTAAACTGGTCTTGCAACCACCTCTTTCTTTATTACAAGATCAATGTTTTCTTGTGATCAGAAGTGGAATTCATAGATAAGTCACATGAAGCTGTGATTCAAGATATGCTGTTCATATGAATTCTGGGATGCATCTTCCTCATTACTACAGTCACATACAACCTGGAACCTGTATTGATGGAGGGACCAAGGGATAGTCAAGCCATCCTATATGCTGAGTGGACAGGGCATCTTACACAGTCAACCAAAATAATCTTTTCACACAAATGGGAGCTATTAGCATAAAAAATAATGTCCATAAGAAAAATGTCTTCATAAACTGTTGTACATGAAGTAAAAATTAACTGTTCTGTATGGATAAGTGGTTGATATTTGAGCATGTCCTTTTAGAGAGGAGATTATTTCAAGCTCTTTTGTGAGATCCTGGACAACTTTTCAGGGGTCCCATTTCTAAAATGGATTTAGTAAAACTTTCATGATTTCTAAATGAATAATAAATAACAATAAACATTTCTCAATTGTTTAATAATGAGGACTGTGAAACACAGATAATTGTTAATGCCATTCAGTGAAGTCTCCCTGCATTTCCCAATCTAACATTGTTACTTTCAGCTGTGGCAAGTAAGAACTAATGCTGTTTGCCCATCTGTATCCTACCTGGCATTCTAGTTTTAAATATACTATGTAAAAGGCTATTTTTTTGGAAACTAAACCAAGGTTTAATGAGAGGGTTTTTTTCAAATTGATTGCAATATCAATATTGATGAGAAGATAAATTATCTTTTGTCTTAGAACTTTAAATCGCTATGAAAACCTTAGCCATTTACACTTTAGTGGGTTTAGAGATTTATTAACATAATCAACATATGCTTTATATTTCATAATAAAGTAGCCTCATGATATAAAGTTCTGTGAATTGAAACCAATTTTTCAGAAGAACTGTCATACATCTAAAGTAATCTAACTGTAATAATAGCAGTATGAGACTTACATTTTCAGAATTATGTGTATAGACACATTAATGGCAGTTACAAGGCTAAGGATCAAATTTTTAACTGAGTTAATCCTCTAACTCCCACTGATTTTAGTGATCTTAGATTACTAAATAATTTTTAAAGGCCTTCAGCCCCTAAGTTTTTAAATATATCCAGCTCAGACTGAATTGTTATCAGTACAATGAGTATATTTATTGGCATAATTTTGATCTGTAGCTAGATAGCTACTGATTATATTTCTGCATGCAACGTACAACATTCTCCTTTGGAGATTTAATTGTAAGTGCATTTTGTGCAGAGGCAGTACACCATTTAGAGGTCATTTTCTAGTGTTTGGAAAAAGAAAAAAACTAAGAGTTGAAGTGAAAGAAAAATGTCATTTATATGATGCAGTGTCAGATATGGAACTCAAACAATGTACAAAAGGTTCAGGCTTAATTTTCCTGAAGCAGAAGAAATGAGAGGCATTTCATTTTTGTAGGTGAGAAGTGAAATGTTCCTCTCTGCTCACTGATAGAGGCATGCTAAGGTGAATTTTAATTATGACTAAATTGTGGTATTACTCTTTCATACCCTGAACATCTGTTCCCTTCAGGAATGATGATTTATGCAGGCTATCACTGCAGACAGCTTGCTACAGCTTATGTCACGGTTAGTAGGAAGCTGGTGGTAGTATTTCAGAAAATACCAGCATCTAAGTGGAGACAGGCCAGTGTGTCTTTTTAAGGTAATAGGGAAAGGGGAGCATGATGTGTCCGTTTTTAATTTTGAAGCCAAATATTGACTTTGCTTTTTTTTTTCTTTATGCTTTCGGACCATCTGTCATTAATGAAGAAAGTATCTTGAACAGTGAATGGCCTGGTTCTGCATAATGGTGTCAAGCAAAAGAAAACCAAGCCTGTCATTTCCAACTGCATGTAGAAAATTATTGAGGACACCTCTGACAGAATTTTAGTGTTTAAGAACTGCACAGGGCAGGATAAATATGAGATTATTGCATCACAAAATCAAATTGAAAAGGTGACCTTTGTTTATGAGCATGTTTGAATGAATCCATCTTCAAAGCACCTTCATTGCTACTGTGACTTTATTGCTTTCAGATAACTATAGATTATTCTTAAAAATACAGCCAAAGAATCCCTTAAATTACAAAGCCTTTGAATTCAACAAACTGGGGTTATATGTATGTTCAGGTTAGATAAGGGGATTTTTACTTCTGTGCTCCCTCTTTTCTAAAATTCCCCCCTGCTCTTTAATCTGCTTGTCTTTGCCTAGTAGCCACCTTGCTTCCGATTATGCCTATTTCTTCTCCTAGTTTTGTGTGTGCTAACAGTACGTTATCTGAGGATTTATTATCAAGGAACATTATTTATAAGATGATCTGAGGCATGGGTTATATGTTTGAAAATATGGTCAATTTTGATTAGGTTAGATATTTAATTGTAAATATTCAATAGTTAAAATATTTTTCTTAATAGATATGACACTGTAACCATATAACAGCATATTTTTTCTTTTTTCCTGTATAAGGCATTTTAATACTTTCTTGGCAATTCAGTAGGTTTTAGAAGAATTGATATGCTGTCTTTGTTTTCAGGTAATTCTAGAGGAACATATGTATTTGTTCCAAAACAAGTATGGTATATATACTTTATATCACCTCATTTCTGTTATAACTCTGTGATATATTTGAAATAAGTGTCTAAAAATGCATTTTAAATTCTTTTCAAACCTAGGGCTGATTCACAACATGGAATACTTTGCAAAGATTTCCACTACAGGTAAGGAATTTGGAATGCCTGGAATATTAGCATTCATCCCTCTCTGAATTGTGTAATCTTTTTTTTTTTTTGTCTGTAGGACAATTATAATTTTCGTGCACTAAAATATTACCCAGGAGAGCTATATCATATATCATATGGTCATATGTCTGTCAGTTTTCTAATGTTGCCTGTGATAGATATGATCCCATGTTTTGTAATATAAAATTCGTTTTATTACTGTCAACATTGGTGCTAATATATATCAAGAAATAGCATGCAAATGTGAATAACAACACTTCTGCAATAAATGTTCTTGGAACCTGTTGTCTAACTAGAACATTCAGGATACTTTCAACATGATGAGGATAATCAAAACACACAGATCAAACTTGTCTGTACACCAGAGCAAAAAAAGTTCAGCAATAATTTTTGAACATCACACAAAATCAGTAGTTTGATACAGTATTAATCTTTTTTTCTTTTTTTTTCCACGGGGATGTCTTGACCTAGAACATTAATTATTAAACCGATATCCATGAGGCCTCATAGATGTGTGGACTGCTTGTGAAGGGTATCCAAAAGTGACTGAGGCCATAGTTTTGAGGACGTTTCAAGTCAGTGTATTCCAGCACTGTTGCTAAAAGAAGCCTCCACCACTTGTGCCCTGTCATTGCAGGACTTCTGCAACTCCCTTGGCAGCTCAAGGGTTTTGTTCCATCATTCAGTGAACCACACAGGGAAGACAACATACACCAAAAATAAACCAGTTAAAATAGTCAGTTTTAATCTGGAATAGTTTCTTGAATCTGATTCACTGCACACCCACCTAAATACTTTTGCCAGCACAAGAAAAAAGGTCACATGGGCGTGGAAAGAAACAAATGAGTCTGAAAGAGAAAAACTGTTGGAAAATTCTAGCATGTACTTACCGCTTGGTGCAGGGGAAAGAGAACTAAGGCCAAAGGAAAAGTATATTTATACATGAATCACGTTTGAATTTTATGCAAGCGTCTGATCCTCCATGATGAATGCATAAAGGTTGACACATTTAAAATAGATTGAAAATCAGTGTCTCAGGTATTAATGCAACAGTAAGTATAAAGTAAAAATATTTTAATATCTTCAAAATGGTATTTCATCCAGTCTAGTGATTTAAAAAGAAAGCATATTTCTTGCTTATAAATTGAAAACAAAACCAAATGAACATAAAAATTGCAACACTGTGTCAGACTGGACTTTCATCTAGTCCAATATCCTGTCTTTGAGTCGATGTCTAAAGAAAAGTGGAAGAATAAAGGCAGCATATGGTACATATGGTGCATATGTTGATAATTTCCTAGCATACTGCCCTCATCTGGGACAACTCCAGTCATGGTGTAGTCAAATCACAAAGAATATATCAGAAGCAGAGCATTTTCCTTTTCCTTGAATACAAATATTATTTATTATTTGAATGGGATATTTTTCCTTCCCTTAGCCATTCAATTAGCAAGATTTAAAAAAACAATTGAAATGTGTTTTTTTTCTATGTATAATAAGGAAAATGCTCAGCAAATTGTTGCTACTGTGTGAAAAGTATGTTTGTTTCTTTGTAGTCAGTAACTATTTCTTTTCAGACTTTTACCTATTAATGAAAAAGTGGACTGGCTATGCAAAGAGTGGTATGAATTCACCAAATGCTGGTGGTATCTTGGGCAGGAAGGTCTGAAGCGCAACTGATATTTGTTTTTGTTCTGAAACCCTGACAAAAGTGATAACATTCTCACTTCAGTTATGCTAGATCCGTATCACTGAATGAATGAGAAAAAAGGACACACTGAACAATTGCTGTCTCTGTTTCAGTTCTCAAAAAGGCAGTTTTAACAGACCATACAATCCTTACAGTCTTCCTCCCATCTCCATTTAGTCACAGTCCAGGCTTCTGATGGAAGCACTGCACATCTACCATACGGCAATCAATATACTGATGTATATCAAATAGGATTTATGATTCATTGAAGGAAAGGGTTTTTTTTTTTTCATGCTGAAAATGCCTATTCTTATGCAATTAAAATTGGAAAGAATGATAAGTATGTTTAGAAAATTTGGAAGAAGAGACAAGATAAATAATCTTTTTTTTTCCTATTTGTTTTGTAATTGAACTAGTATGAAACAGTTCTGTCCTGCTG